AAAATTTCAAAAATTAAAAGCGATTAAAGTTCAGCGTTTTAAAATTCCTAGGATGGAATAGTTGTGTTTGGCCTGCCTGTGTTTATGGAAGTACTGCAGAAAAATTTCAAAAATTAAAAGCGATTCGAGGTTCGTCATTTTAAAGCTCCTAGGTTGGAGTAGTTGTGTTTGGCCGCACGCTGTGCCAGCCTGTGCAGCGCAGACACGGAGCTGGCTGTTGTGGGCTCGCCCATGAGCTTTGCCCTCTCCTGCAGCAACTGCCCACACATTTCCTTTTTATGCATTTACAGTTGAAAACAGAGATATTGCAGCTTTTAGGGTATTGTTCAGGTTTCAACGGATGCTGGTTTTGCAGTTTCACAGCAGGCCACGTATCTTGTCTTTATTTTTTCCCTTTTTAAACAAAAATGCATTTGGGTAACAATGAAAGATAATATATTGTTTCAAAGGAATTTAGTGATATATTTCATTTTGTCCAAAAGGAACACTTTCTGGAAGGCATGTGCATGTTGGGTGTCTGCATGACAGGCGTTGGTGGATCTTGACATGACCCTGAGCAGTGTCTGACTCAGCTTGCCTGGGAAGCATTGTGCCTTGTGGCATGGCTGTGTTTGATTCCCACTTGTGTTTTGTAGAGCTGGAAAAGGAACGAAACCGAGGCATTGGGAAGCCGCTCCTGGGAGGGCCCTTCTCCCTCGTCAGCCACGAGGGACAGCCCAGGACCAGCAAGGACTACATTGGCCAGTGGGTGCTGATCTACTTTGGCTTCACTCACTGCCCTGACATCTGCCCTGATGAGCTGGAGAAAATGATTGCAGTGGTAGATGAAATTGGTAAGGGAGTTCAGGGTCTGGAAGCACAGACACAGAGCATTGCATCTCATGGCACTTGCTTCCTTCACAAATTACATAAATAAAACTGCACAAAAAGGTCTGGTCACTTGGGATGGGCTTGGATTGATGTTACATGGCTGTGAGCTTGTTTGAAGGCAGATGAGAGATGATATCTGGTTTTTCTAAAATAAATAATAACTGTTAACATCACAGATCGAATTCCATCTTTGCCTAATCTGACCCCACTCTTCATCACCATCGATCCTGAGAGGGACAACCAAGAAGCCATTGCCAGATATGTTAAAGGTATTCCTGCCTTCTTCCTTGTGTCTCATAGCATGTAGTGCAGAGCACTGAAAAGGTGCCTCTTCAAGGGATTATTTTCACCAAAATGTGTAAATGTCTTCTTTCCATCTAGAATTTTCTCCCAAGCTGGTGGGATTGACTGGTAGCAAGGCACAGATTGACCAAGTGGCTAAAGCGTACCGTGTGTACTACAGCGAAGGGCCCAAGGATGAGGACAACGATTACATAGTGAGTAAAAGCAGCCTTTGCTTGCTGAAACGCTGCATAAGAGCAGCATGTGCATTTTAAAACCAGCTATTGGGTCTTTACTGAAGTCCCATGTGCACCTGTCAGAACCACAGTGCCCTCCTACAAGCTCAACACCTTACCAAAGTGTGTTCTAAACAAGCCCAGAAATGCAGACAGCAGCACTGGAACTAGCAAGCCTGGCAATGGTTTGATTTCTTTCTGATCTGTAACATTTGACTGCCTCTTTCCCTACGTGTGCCAAAGTTGCTGTGATTTCTCATTTTTAATGCAGCTGAACTCAGAGCACGGTTGTATTTCAGTCCTGGGCAGTCATGGCTTCCAGAGCCAGAGCTCTGTGTCTTTGCTGAGAAAGATGTTGTCACGGTTAGGTGCCGACAGCACTCGTAGCGTCATTAAATAAATTTGCGGTGGAATTAATTTTGATATAAATCAAATTTTGATATAAATCCGGGATGTGCCTGGGTGAGGCTGCTTCAGTGCGCCGGCAGGGGGCGCGCCTGTCCCGCATGTCCCTGTATCCACTGCCGGTCCCGGTCCCAATCCCGCATTTCCCTGTATCCACTGCCGGTCCCGGTCCCAATCCCGCATTTTCCTGTATCCCACTGCCTGCCCGGCTCCTGATCCCGCATTTTCCTGAATCCCACTGCCTGCCCCGATCCCAATCCCTGATTTCCCCTCTGAGCTGGTGTTCTGTGCTGTTGTGCTCTCTGACCACGCTGTGCTCTCCTGCAGGTGGATCACACAATAATCATGTACCTCCTCGGCCCCGATGGTGACTTTGTGGACTACTATGGCCAGAGTAAGAAGAGTACTGAGATTTCATCTTCTATTGCTGCACACATGAGAAAATACAGATCCTAAAACAGAAGGTCCTCAAAGATTGCCGTGAATGTCACCTGTGGGTTTGGCTGTGATTGGACACTGGAGTTAAAGCAGAAGCACACAAGTGTAACATCCCATCAAGCCGGTCTCCTTCCAAATAAGAAAGGTTATTCATGTTTCTGCAAATTCCCATTACCAAAAATCTCTACAGAGCCTTCCCCATGGATACAATTTCCAACAAGATCTTGGGTGCAGAATAAAATTTGGGACTTGTCTGAAACAGTGCTGGGAGCAAAGGATGGAAAGCACTTTTTACTTGAAAAGAACGTGTGTGTTGCTGGGAAAATACTGCTGGTAAAAAAAAATTGCTGGTCTGGCAAGGACAGCAGCCACTGCAGGAGCATTGCTTGATGCAAAGCCATTACTGGATGGGGCCATGGCATTCTCAGAGGAGCTCTGCCCTCTGGTTTCTCTGCACTGTTTTGCCTTCTAGGAGAGGCAGCTGCACTATTAGAAGCAGGGGAGCCTTAAGAGTGCTTCTTTATCCAGGTTAAGAAGGTGAAGAGCATTGAAAGCACCAGCTGCTTCCATGCATGGGACCAGCCCTGTAGCAAGCCTGTTCTTTTCATCTGAATGCAGAAATGAGATGTATTTTTTGTGGTTTTTCCAGGTGAACACTGTTCACTTATAAGGAGAAGAGAATTGGGATGCAAATAGCTTTTTCTTCTGGTGCAAATGATGGTGTGTGTAGTTGCTCTGCTTGTGCTAGGGGAAGTGGGGAGGGTGAAGGGGGGCTGTGTCATGCACAGGGCTGGCAATCAGATACATTTTATGCAATGCAGCATTTGAAAATAAAGATTGATTTGTATAAAAAATATATCTTTTTGTTTCCTTAGGTTTGACCAAAATGTCATCAGAACTTTGTATACTGGTCAAACATCATATTCTTGCTCTGCTTTCCTCTTTTTTAGAAAGCAGTATTTATTTCTAGTCATGCACATCAGGAGCTGAATGTGCTTTTTAAAGCTGAACCTCAGAGAAGGGCCCATGGGAGACAAACCAGAGCAGTTCTTGGTGTGAGTTCCAGAGGGTCTTGGACTGAGCACAGATGTTCCTGCAGGTAGCACTGGTGTTCTCCTGAGTGGGGTTGGAAGAGAACATTCCCATTCAAGGGAAGGTGCAAAGCCTGTGGAAAATTTCTGTCTTTGCAAAATTGTGAAAACCAGTAAATTTCACCTGTTTCAGAACAGTGACATCTCTCATGCATTTTTGCATCTATTGCATTCTTGCTCTCCTCAATGGGTTTCACATTCGGGTCTGTATTTATTTGATCCCTTGTGATTTGTTTGTGCTTGTGGAGTCCTCAGGGCCCATCTCTGCCCCATCTCTTACCAACCTGTGGCTGTGCCCTGCACAACAGCCTTTGTGTGCCCTTCTCAAGGTCTCTGCTGTCACATCAGGCTTGTATTTTAAATGTTGCAGCAGTTTTTTAGGGCCAAATACCTTTTCTGCACAGAGGACAGTCTGGACAACCATGATTGTATGAAGCAATGGTAAGTAAAAATAAAACAAATCAGTTAGAAGCACCTGCTCAGAAGAAAGAATTGGTGTTACAGCAGAGCCAAGTTAAAGCAGGATTTGGACAAGGCAAACCTCAGTCCTGAGGCTTTGCAAAATCAGCACATGACCTGGGAAGAGTCACCTGTTACACTGATTTCTCTAAAGCTCATTTGCAGCTGACCACGGAGACAAATACAGGATTCCTGGCTTCTCCCAAATGTTTTGGCAGCTCTGTTGTGTCCTTTACCTTGTTTTTCTGTGCCCTGAAAGGCAGAACCAGCTGACCCAGGAAGATTATGGCAGACTGGGGGGAGTGTGGCCAAGGCCCAGGAAGATTTCAGATGGAGTGACATGTCCCTTGCCTCATGGCAGTGGGAGCAATTGATGTCCTGCTTTTTTCAGCCTCCCAATTTGACCTTGCCCATCACTTTTCCCTTGGCTTTTCCATGGGGAAACTTTCTTTGGAAGTGAGGAGTTTTATTGTGGTTGGTTGTGGGGTTTTGTTTTTCTTTGACGTTTATTTTTTCTTTATTTGGAGTTTTGTTTGTTTATTTAAAACCAAAACATGTTGTTTAGGGAACTGTTAGGATTTCCCTGCCCTGTTCAGTGGCAGCAGGGAGCACAGATGTGTTCCTGTGTGTTCAGGAGGCCCAAGGGTTGTGCTAAGTGCTCACTGGGAGGAGGCAGAGTTGGTCAGGGAGGGGAAGGGAATGTGCTGGGGGTGCTAGGAGATGCTCTGTCAGTGGATATTCAGTATTTTTCCAGTCCAGTATTAGAAATGAAGCAAACTGTACTCATACCCAAATTCCCTGTATCCCCAGGTGCAGTGCCCAGCCCACAGGGAGGGAGCTCAGCTCTGGCAGGGAAGGAAGGTTTGTGACAGGGCTCCTCTGCTGGGGCTGTGCTGGATGCTGGCCTGGGGCTGAGCAGGGCCAGGTGGGTCTCTGGAAGCTGCACCAGGTGACAGGTTTCATTTGGGAAGCTGCACCAGGTGCAGGTTTCATTTGGGAAGCAGATTTGTCAGAGCCTGGGGCTGTGCACGGTGAACCTGTGTTCCCCAAGGCCAGCAGGGACCCCTGGGTACCCCAGGGACAGGGCAGGGCACAGTCCTGGCAGGGGCCAAACCAGAGCTCTGCTCTGTGTGCTCACACAGCCCTGGCCTGGCAATACCAGTGGAAAACAGCATCTCCTCTGAGGGGCTGCTGCCATCCCAGCCTGGGGACCAGTGACAAGATGTCTGAGGAATGAGGATTGGCTCCATTTGTCTTCCCAAGGCAGGCAGCACATTCCTCATGTGCTGCCAGCATAGCCCATGGAGAAGCTCAGCTGATGAGTGACACTTAAGCCACATGGGTGAAGTTTGGCTGCTTTAGGAGTGTTCTCAGCACCAGCACGGGCAGAATCAGGGCCTGAAGAGGTGCAGAGACTGTGACCTTGAACAACTGCAAAAGCTGTGTGTTGCATTTTCAGTCCAGATCATGGAAAGACACAGATAAGAAGGGCTCTCACTGAAAATGCGTTGCATTTTCAGTCCAGATGATGGAAAGACTCAGATAAGAAGGACTCTCAGGAGTTCTGCAGTCCAACCTCCTGCTGCAGCCACCCAGAGCCTCTTCATCCTTGTTCACAGCCTGAGGAAGAAAGCAAGTCTTCCTCCTCTCCAGCTTGGGTCAAGGTCATGTGTGGGTGGAGTTGCTGTTGCTCTCTCTCCCCTTCTGCAGTGCTTTTGAAGATATCTACATTTTCTGAGCCTTTTCTCACTTGGTCAGACTTGCATGGTCCCAGCACTGACCTGGCATTCCTAAAATGTGCTTCCATCAGCCCCAGCCAGGATCTGGGACAAATGAAGGCTCTCACATGGTTTACAGTGAACTGCAGGATGGAGCTGGAGGCTGAGAATTGAGTTGGGCTCTTCACCACCTCTGTAAATCAGTGTGTGTTTTCAGTCAGGTGGAACAAGCACAGAGTGCTGAGGAGTCAGAGCTGGGAACAGCCTGTCCTGATGCACTGAGGTTGCTGATTGCAACCAAGGCTTTCCTGCCCTGCTGCTGAAGCAGTGCTCCCACCTGGAGCCTCCAGGAGCTGTGGCTCCAGTAGTGTGTGCTGGGGCTGCTCAGGAGCTCCCCAGCCTCGGGACAGGGAGTCTGTGCTCAGTGAAGCAGATGTGCTGGTCTGTGCTACATGTGGTGTCTATTTGTGGTCCTTACTTTAGACATGACTGACGAGTCCCTCTTTTACTGGACTGCTGTTAGGCTTGGTGTCCTAAAAGCAAAGGCAAAAAGCTGACTAATTGCCTCCTAGAGGAGAATTTTAAAGTTTGTTTTGGTTCAATTGGAAACTGATGTTTTTAAAGAAGATATACTGGCAGTGGAGTGTCTAGCCCCTGACTTCTAGCAGCTCTACATCAGTTGTGCATGTTGCTGTGAAGATCTGTGCTTGGGAGACCTGGGCAGGAATGATTGCACCTGTCTCTGTGCTAGAGCCAAATCATTCCATGTTTTAAGCTGTGCATTACTAGTTTAATAAAGCAGGTTCCTTCAGCGTGCCAGGGAACTTACTCAGCTGCAGCTTACAAAACCTTCTTGTTCTCCCAAAGTTCTTTGTGCAAAAATAGATAGACACCAACCAGTAAATCCACCTTTAATTTGCAGGGGTATATTAAGCTATGAGTGTGCCCTTTTCTGAATGAAGGGCAGCAGTAAAAGCTCCCTGGCAGCCCCAGGATGGGATGAGAGAGCCTTGCAAGGCAATGTGGCTCCTGGTGACAGCACCCTTGTGACCTTCACCTCAGGCCAGCTCTGTGTGTGCAGTGATGCGGGCAGCACAGAGCAGCAGAGGTACCTGCAGCTGCCGTGGGTCATTGCTCAGTGCCACTTGTTTTCCTGCACTCTGTTCTCTCCTGGACACCTGAACCAGCTAGAGAAAACCAGGAGAGGCTCTCACTGCCTGAGAGTTCTCTTTGCTCTGCTTGCACAGCTGGCTGTGGGGACTTAGCCAGCAGTGTGGCCAAGAAGGGCAACAAGAACTGTGTCTGCAGCAGCCATGGTGTGGCCAGCAGGACCAGGAGAGTGACCACCTCTGTGCTGGCACTGCTGAGGCACCTGAGTGCTCTGTCCAGCTCTGGGTCCCTCATAACAATGAAGACATGGAGGGGCTGGAGTGTGTCCAGAGAAGGGGATGGAGCTGGGAAGGGTCTGGAGCTCCAGGAGGGGCTGAAGGAGCTGGGAAGGGGCTCAGCCTGGAGAACAGGAGGCTCAGGGAGGCCCTTGTGGCTCTGCACAGCTCCTGACAGGAGGGGACAGCCGGGGGGCTTGGGCTCTGCTCCAGGGAACAGGGACAGGAGGAGCGGGAACGGCCTCAGGCTGGGCACCAGGCGGAAATTCTTCTCTGGTGGGGTGGTCAAAGGGTGGTCAAACACTAGAAGAAGCTGCCCAGGGAGGTGTCCAAGGAAGGGCTGGATGTGGCACTCAGTGCTCTGGGCTGGGTGACAAGGTGGGCACTGGTCAGAAGTGGACTTGATCTTGGAGGTCTTTTCCAACCCCAATGATTGTGTGAGTGAGGTCCAGTCTGTCCAGTCCTCTTGCCCTGAGCATGCCTGGGAGCAGGAAATGTCCTTTCTGCATTACAGTGGCAATCTGGTGTCAGGACAAAGCCCAGCCTGCACACTGGCCTGGTGTGCCTCAGCTTTGTGCTCGCAGCACATCCCCTGTGCTGAGTTCAAAGGGCCGATCACAAGGGATGTGTGCTAAAATAAGCTTTTCCTCATCCCCCGGGCTTAGGGGGATTCTAGGAATTCATGGTTCATGAGATATGTGGCTGTGGTGTCCATTTTTAGTGACCTTAAATGAAATTAAGGGCAACATGAAACATGTTTTTCAGAACTCCAGGGACAGTGACTGTGCTGCAAGCCCACAGGCTCGGCTCCCCTCGGGCCAACACAAACAGGGTCAGCCCCTGTCCCAAAGGGGTGACATCCCCTGTGCTGCGGCAGCAGCTGCAGGTGCCCCAGGGTGCTCCAGCTCAGAGTGGGGCTGTGGGAGGTAGCAGGAGCTGTTTGGGGAGGGTGGAGGGGGCTTCTGGCTTCACACAAGGCTTGTGGGCTTTGTTCTGCTGAGGGAAGGCTGGTCCTGCAGCCTTGGGTGATGTCCATGCAGGGCAGAGAGCAAACAGGGCTTGCTAAACAGTGACAGGTGACCTGAACAGCCAGAATGGCTCAGGATGGAGGAGACTCTTCCTCTCCTGCACCAGGAGCTCACTGCAGCTGTGTGTGAAGGCTCCCTCTGTTCTGCCAAGTGCTGCCCTGCCAGCCATTGCTGG